CGTGCTGTCAAACCTACACTAGCAAGGAGATCGGGCTGAAACTATAGCTACAAGCTATCCAAGGATGGTACTATAGAATGTCACCTCAAGGTAGGCCTAGTGGCGTCATCTCTTGGTTAGGCCGGAAACTTATCAATCCACCCTCGTATAGCATATTTACTATCCGCATTGCACCCGTGCGAAGCATAGTGTACAAATAATACCATTAAACCAATTCCTTAACCCCTATCCCGGTATATTTGTGTGTTTGAAGAAGTTTCACTTCAGTAGCGTGTTGTATAATTACACGTTGCATTTTTTTTTACTACCGCCATTTATATTGTTTACGTGAACTTTTATTTCTTTTACTACCTACTGATTGTGAGCAATTAATTAAGGAAGTGAAGATAATATGAATAAATATTGCTTAACAGGTGTGTTGGCTTTTGAAATATGTATTTTCTATGTTTCCCCGAGGCATTGTGTGTCCCACAACTTCAGCTCACCTCTGAAAGTTTTCCATCGAAACCTTCGCATATATAGTCATGCCTTCCGCAGGTGACCTACGCGTTCCTTCGTTATATCCGCGTTCGTATATATAAATAATCATCGTAATTTTTCTGACACACGCGAAAAGGCCATCTCGTAACTCAGGCGAAAACGACGTGCCAGTTACTGGAAAATGTGTTTTCTCTCCAATACAATAATTTATATTAGTTTTTCGAAGAGCCCATTCGTTACTTCGTACATTAATTGCGAGCCCCGTGCGTTCCTGCGAACCATTTCGTTTATCGACAACCAACAACAGCTTACATTTACAACTCACGTACGCCATATTTCAATTACCATTCTTTCGTGGGAACGCCTTTTACTACCACACGCTTTCCTTTTGTTTTTCGTTTTTAAAGAGCGAAAAAATAAAACCGACACACCTGCCCGCGACTGCTCGAAGTTCTAAACGAAGTACCCCTCTCCAGCAGAAAGGATCAGGCAATGGAAAAAGTTTTTCAACAAAAGAGAACGGTCGTTTTCAACGTGCTTCATCAGAATATTATTAAGTTTCATGAATTTCATTTATGGCGTTAACAAAAATAGCATCATTAATCGCCATTTGTACCAAATTTATCACATAGACAAAAAAATATAAGGACGCAAGCCTTCAAGTGTCCGTCAATTGATCGAAAGCAAAATCCTTATTTCATGACATTTTTTATACCCAATTACTTCGGGTTAAGTTATTGCTCCTACCTTCCTACCACTAGTCTTGCTGGTTGAAACAAAACTTACATCCATCATCATTATTGTCTACAGAGATGAGCAAAACGGTGTTTTAAAAGTACAGTGTAAACTCTATATAACGACACTTAAGGGACTGAACATTTTTCGCCGTTATAAAGAGTGGTCGTTAAATATAAAGAAATAAAAGATATTATTTTACTATTCTATAATAATATGCATTTACCAATATAGTACACATTTTGCACACGAACATTATTATTCATACATTGCGTATA